TATGTATATATATATATATATATATATATATATATATATATATATATATATATATATATATATATATATATATATGTATATATATATATGTATATATATATATTTATATATATATATATATATATATATATATATATATATATATATATATATATATATATATATATATATATATATATATATATATATATATATGTATATATATACACACATATATATATACGCACACATATGTTTGTGTGTGTTATTGTTATTTTTACTATTATCATGATTGTTATTCCTATCATTGTTGATATAATTATTTATTTATCATCGTCATCATTATTATTATTACTGTAATTATTATTATCATTATCATTATATCATTATTGTCATTATCATTATTATTTTTATTATTATTGTGCTGATGATGATGACGATTCCTATTATTATTGTTGTTATAATTATCATTATTATTATCGTCATCAATGATATCATTATCATTATTATTATTATTATTGTTCTTTTATAGATATCATTATTACTATTATCATTATCATTATTATTATGATTATCATTACTAGTGTTGTTATCATTATTATCATTATCATTACTATCATTATTATCGTTATTGTTATTATCATCTTCATTATCATTGTTATTATCACTTTTATCATTTCCATTATTATTATTATTATTTTATGATCATTGTCATCATCATCGTTATTATTATTATCCTTATTATTATAATTATAAATATTATCATTATTGTTACTGTTATTATCATGCTTATTATAATTATTATGATCATCATCATCATCCATTTTAGTCTTATTCCTATCCACTTTTATATCATCATCATCATCATCTTCTTTCTACTTCTCCTCCTCCTCATTATCATCATCATCATTGTCGTCACGATCATCATTTTTTTTACTTTCATTATCATAATCATTACTGTGTATATCATCTGTATGTCGATAATTATGATGATATTATTAGCAATGATTATCATTATCAATTGTATTGTATCACTATTATCATCGTTATTATTACTTTTATATTTCTATGATCATCATCACTTCTGGTACAGCTATTATATTTTTAGCGGTTATTATTGTTATTGCTATTATTATCATTTCCGGTTTTGTCATCGTCATTGTTATTGTTATTATTATCATTTTTATTATTGTTATCATTATTACATTCATGGTCAGTATTATCATTACCTTTAATGTACAAAAGTATCCCGCAGAATATGAAACAAACAAAAAATGAACGCGTAATTATAGACGTGAATGAATATGTATTATGCATTAATGCGGGTTTTGATTACCATTGCTGGTTAGGTTAGGAACAAACACACATATAGGCCTGCAATTCATATTCTATTCGTTGTGAGAAGCGCCTCTAAACACACACACACGCATACACACACACACACGCACACACACACACACACACACACACACACACACACACACACACACACACACACACACACACACACACACACACACACACACACACACAAACGCATTTAATCCTAGCCCAACATCCGACCAATGTAAATCTGTATATAAATGTTATATGAAAACAAATAATAATAATAATAAAAACGATACTTAAAAGCAGAGAGGGCAGGAATATAAAATGCGGTTTACAAATACAATACAACTGCAATAAATCTCAAACTATCGGTACTGCATAGGAAATACAAAAAAAAAAAAACGTTCTGGAGGAAATTCAAGCCTAAATTTAATAGGATCATCTGTTTCGTATGAAGTATCATTCAACGAGTGTATAGAAAAAAAGAAAAGAAAGAGAAAAGAAAGAGATAAAAAAAACGGTAAATACAAAATCACGTAATTTACACCATACTTTGATACGGTACATTTAAGAAAATAGTATTTGAGAGAGAGAGAGAGAGAGAGAGAGAGAGAGAGAGAGAGAGAGGGAGAGAGGGAGAGAGAGAGAGAGAGAGAGAGAGAGAGAGAGAGAGAGAGAGAGAGAGAGAGAGAGAGAGAGAGAGAGAGAGAGAGAGAGAAGCAGAGAGACAGAGAGAGAAAACGAAAAGAAAAAATAAAAAGAGACGCGAGAGAGAGATAGAGAAAGAAAGGGGTGGAGTGGATGGAGAAAGAGAAAGAAAAAGAGAAAGAAAAAGAAAGACAGAGACAGAGAGAGAAGAAGCGACAGGTAGCTAGATTTTTCCGGTTCCACGTTCATACTTCAGGTACTTTTCACCTGACTTTTTACGGCCTCTTAATACCTTCTTGCCCTTAAGCCTTAAATTCAAAAGCCAAACAATTTCTTCACTTTTCTTCTTCCAATAACTATGTGTATATCAAGTATATTTTTCTCCATTTCAAAAATTTCTGTGATCAAGATGATAATTATTATTATCATTATTATTACTATTATCATTATGGTTATTATCATCATTACTATTATTGTTATTATTATCATCATTATTATCATTATCGTTGTCGTTGTTGTTATTATTATTATTATCATCATCATCATCATTATTACCATAATTATTCGTATGATCATTACTTTTATTATTATTATAATTTCTTTTTATTAGACTGCAGTAAGACGGAGTAAATATTGTTTACATTTTTTTAATTGATTGGGATTGATTTTCATTTGTCCGCATTCATTATTGCTTGAATTTGTAAGGAAGGAATGCGTGGGAAAGTGAGAGGAAGAAAAAAATAAAGCGTGAGAGGGAGACGGAGAGAGAAGGGGAGAAGGCGAGGGATAGGGATACGGAGAGGAGAGGAGAGAAGAAGGAGAAGGAGAAGGAGAAGGAGAAGGAGAAGGAGAAGGAGAAGGAGAAGGAGAAGGAGAGGGAGAAGGAGAAGGAGAGGGAGAGGGAGAAGGAGAAGGAGAAGGAGAAGGAGTGGAGAGGGAGAGGGAGAGGGAGAGGGAGAGGGAGAGAGAGAGAGAGAGAGAGAGAGAGAGAGAGAGAGAGAGAGAGAGAGAGAGAGAGAGAGGGAGAGAGAGAGAGAGAGAGAGAGAGAGAGAGAGAGAGAGAGAGAGAGAGAGAGAGAGAGAGAGAGAGAGAGAGAGAGAGAGAGAGAGAGAGAAAGAGAGAGAGAATGACAAGGAGAAAGAGAGGGAGAGGGAGAAGGAAAGAGAAAGGGAAAGCATTACTTGTATTTAAGCATAATTCGAGATTCCAATGTAGGCCTATACCAGTAATTCTTTTGGTGACGATAACGAGGTATTTTCAACGAGACAGGGCCGTTGAAAATGGACTGGACTGATTTTTTTGGTAACTAATATATATATATATATATATATATATATATATATATATATATATATATATATATATATACATATATATATATATATATATATATATATATATATATATATATATATATATATATAATTTTTATTTATTTATTTATTTTTTTGTGTAAAATCTCCGATTGTGTGTGTGTGTGTGCCTGTG